GCTGTAGCTCTGAGGCTTGGCTCTAGCTCTTAGGCCTCTGCTGCTGAAAGAAGGTATCTGGCCTTTGTTTGGGTTCTATAATCGATACACTGTTTCAATCCAGCTGGCTGATATCCCGGCGGGCTAAAGCAGGTTTCTGGAGTTTTGTTTGGCTTCTATATTTGTAATGTTTCAAACTGCAAGCTCAGAGGCCGGCAGCAGCAGGCGGGGAATGCTGGAGTCCTCCGTCACTGAAGCAAGCCTCATGTTCGCTTCAAGCTGCCTGGCTGCCATCTTGGCTGGCAGTTAATTTGCATATTGCCCTGATTAGCCAATGGGAAGGGTAGCGGTCATACGCCAATTACCATGTTTCTCTTTTATTAGATAGGATGGTATCCCTTTGGGACCCTCGCCACTTAAATATTTTCCCATTTACTCTAATAGCAGGGTGGAGACCAGTTCCTTTGAGAAAAGGCTGGAGACAATTTCTGCATCAGCTCAAACTGTTTTCCCAGCTCAAACTGTTTTCCCAGCCCAAGTGGAGGCCACACTAGTTGAGTTAAAAGACTGTTTTTAAGTTAGCTTTTATTCAAGTCAAGCAATTCTGTTTGCTTTCTAAGGATAAGAGATAATGGCATTATCCTACTTGAGTTAACTGTTATAAATTGTATTTTTCCCAAAACTATTGATATGGAGGGGCAACAAAAATGAGAACCAGAAAGTACAGAAATCTCATGGCCTTTTAGACTATCAGCTCAGACAGCTCACTCTTAAACAGGTGAGTAAACACAAAACTAAGAGGAATGCCACCAGCACCCCCTACAACAGGCTCAGGACTGCTGGAGCTGGCTGTGGGGGAGGGTGAAGCTGCCATTTGCTTTGGCTTTGACTGTCATCATGCCCACTGACAACTGAGAACTAAAGAGGGAGTGCAAACCTAAGGACAAGGAATGCTCATTAAATCACAACCTCACACACCCTGCTCGGGGCCTGCCAGAAGCTTTTCAGTGCATCACACCTAAATCTAAACCTGCAACCATGACCTATTAACGTTACCTATCCCAACCTCTCCTCACCTGCCGGAACCCTCGCTGGATCTTTTGTTCCTTAAACACAGACTTTGGTCCCAACCTAGACTTTGGTTCTTACTGTTCCTTGTCCCTGCAGCTCTCCCTACTCAGACCCTCACACAACTGGTTCCTCATACTAGTTCAGGTATAAGCGAAAATGCTTTCCCCATTCACCCAAAATACCACCCATCTCTAACACATCACCCAGTGTTATTTCCTTCACAGCACTTAGTAAACCTTACTTATCATCTTCCCTCCCTAAAATCTAAGCTGCCTGTGAACAGACTCTTATCTGTCTTGTTTAGCATTGCATTCCCAGTGGTTAGGTGGTCAAAAACCTAAGTTGGAAATACATGAATAGTAATGCTTCTAGGAAGTCATGAAGCCACTCTATACTGGAGATTTTTATCTGTGAAGAGAGGAAAATGTTGTCCTACCTACTCTCAGAACTACGATGCTATAGTTGTAAAGTACTTTGAAACAAATTTTAGAAAAAGTAAAATAACCATTTCACCCGTTTCCCATTCCTCCAGCCCTAAGAGTTTCTAGTTAGAAGTTTGTCTTATGAGTTCCACAAATGGCCACTGAACAGTGTCCAACCCACAGGAGATACGTAAGCACAATAAATGGACTGCCCTGATGGCTACCCTCTGCACACTCGGGAATACACCAGCAGCAGAGAAATGGCAAGTTTTCACATTAACTGTCAACATATGTCTGACAGACATTCGCTAAGGAGGCAGGCAGTATGACACTGTAAAGTATGGGGTCTGAGTAATATCGCCACCCATGATGAGTGACGCTACGTGAGTTACTTCATCCCGAGCCTCAATTTCCTCTCTGATACATGGACCTAAGGCTACCTGCCATGAGGTAACCAAGAGGATCCACTGAAAGGGCCTGTAAGCAGTTGGCACAGGAAATAATCCACAGAGAATGGTTGTCAGAAACATTCGTAACTCAGTTTCTCATTCATGACCAAACCACTTTAATTTACAACTTCAATAGACAATATGAAGTTCACGATCTCTTGAAATTCTGACCTTGCTCCTGCAGAAAAACAAAAGGGAAAAGCTTTAAATACTTTTATTTTCACTAACTCAAATCCATAATTCTGTTTATTCAATTATTTAAGCATCCACTGAGCAACAGTCATGTGAGTCGCCTTATAGAGGAGGGAAGCAAAATCACCTTGCTCTCACAAAGGGCTTACAGTCTAGTTATTAAAACAAAACATTAATGACAGTGTGGGAATATTGGGAAATCTGTAAGAGGATAGGAAAGGGTTAGTGCTGTCAGACACTTTAACACAGGAAGCAGAGGGCCTGGGACCTCTCACCGTCCATAACAAACCCACAGACATACAAACTATAAAACAGCTTAATTACCTGCCTTTTGGAGACATTTATGCCATCCCCCTCGGCCCTGCATATCCAAAAACTGCTGTAATTTTCATGTCAATAAGCTACTTCTAATTAAAAAGGCAATACTAATAATACAATTTAATGGAAACACTCAACTATCTTTTAATGCTTCCTATCCTTAAAACAATTTCCAGCCCTAACTGGTTTGGCTCAGTGGATAGAGCGCTGGCCTGCGGACTCAAAGGTCCCAGGTTCGATTCCAGTCAAGGGCATGTACCTTGGTTATGGGCACATCCCCAGTTAGGAGGTGTGCAGGAGGCAGCTAATCGATGTTTCTCTCTCATCGATGTTTCTAACTGTCTATCCCTCTTCCTTCCTCTCTGTAAAAAATCAATAAAATATATTTTTTTAAAGAAATTTCCAAGGCGTTCTGAATGATGGCAATTAAACTGTACAATGATTAATTTAAACTGTTAAATAAGAATGTCTTAACCCCCAAGGGGTTGTAGGGCAAGGAACTTCTCCTGCTACCTTCCTTATGAAAGAAGGGAAACTGACTGATGTCCTGATCTGGAAAATGAAAGGGTCGTAACCCTTTACTATTTAAAGAGTTCATTTCCATGCACATCCATATCATAGCATTGCCCTATGCTAGAACTTTCCATGTAAGTGCTAAACGTAGAAGAAGGTAGTAGTTTTGCAACTATAAACATGCACTGTAAGCTCCTGTCTGTCTTGTCCACCCTGTAATCCCTGTGTAGACTTGGTACTTAAAAGCCTTTGATGGCTAAGTGGGACCCTAATTTGTAACATAACTTAGGAAAAAATAAATTTTTAAAATATACAATGAAAATGAAGATGAAACCCAATTAGGGTGAGAGATGGCGGGAGCACAGGGGACAGCAAATGTGAAAATACTAAATTCAGAAATCAGACACATGAGCCCTGGCTGATGTGGCTCAGCTGGTTGAGCATCATCCCATGCACTGAGTGGTCGCCAGTTCAATTCCCAGTCAGGACACATTCCTGGGTTGTGAGCTTGATCCCCAGTTGGGGGTGTGCAGGAGGCAGCCAATCAATGGTTCTCCCTCAATGATGTTTCTCTCTCTCCATTTCCCTTCCTCTCTCTCTCTAAAATCAATAAAAACATATATTTTTTAAAGAAATTAGACACATGATATTGCTAATTCTTTATACAGTTAGAAAATGCATATTTCTTCAAGACTTCATAGGTACAAAGTTAAAACATTACTAACAAGTAAATAGGCCGGCTAGCATGGCTCAGTGGTTGAGTGTTGACCTATGGACCAGGAGGTCATGGTTCCATTCCCGGTCAGGCCATATGCCTGGGTTGCAGGTTCGATCCCCAATGTGGGGCATGCAGGAGGCAGCCGATCAGTGATTCTCTCTCATCATTGATGTTTCTATCTCTCTCCATCTCCCTCTCTCTCTGAAATCACTATAAAATATTTTTTTTTAAAAAAGAATGAGCTCTTCTTTCTTTATATAAAAAAGTAAATATAGCCGAAACCAGTTTGGCTCAGTGGATAGAGCATCGGCCTGCGGACTGAGGGGTCCCAGGTTCGATTTCGGTCAGGGGCATGTACCTGGGTTGCGGGCACATCCCCAGTAGGAGATGTGCAGGAGGCAGCTGATCGATGTTTCTGACTCTCTATCTCTCTCCCTTCCTCTCTGTAAAAAGTCAATAAAATATATTTTTAAAAAAAAAGTAAATATAACTTTCAAAAAATAGAAATTTTACCTACTTGTAAAGAGTTGAGTCTACACTTTCAGTCTTCATCATCCGGAAGGATACCCAATTCTTCATCCGTCCATTGGGAAGGATCTGGATATGGAAAGTGACCCTGGTGACATTAAAAAAAAAAGTCAAGAATCTATACTCTACACAATTACATTTAAAAAAAATATTTAAAGGAAAAATATATAAGGAAAATATAAGGCTATAACATACACACCCTTGACATGCCACAGGAGGGAATTCTACTTTACTCGACGGCCCAACTGTTCTTCGTATTGTTCCATGTAAGCTGAATTGTAAAAGCCTGCCCATTTGAAGTTACCAGCTTGAGCCAGAGTTTGAGTATGTGTTTGTGATGAAGAGCAGTAGGAATGGAGGCAACAGATTTCAAAGATACCCCACATCTCAACACTGACTTGAAGCCCTGGCAAAACATAATGGATGTCTCAAACTGTCCTGTCATCATGCTGGGAGATCTGGGAGCCTCGGGTGGACTTGTTCGTCTTCGATCCCGATCTAGGGGGCATCTGGCTGCACCACTGTCTCACACCAAATAGCCACATATCCTCCTGGCAGCTGACCCACAATGAGACAGGTGTCTATGTGCTGCTGGTGTGTGGACACTAGGCAGCTCCCTTACTGGGCGACAAGGGCACAGAGAAGTTCTCGGAGAAATGGGATACTAATCCACCTGATGCCTCTAACACTTGTGCATAATTTAACATTTTTTTCTGACCCTAAAAACAAAACCAAATTGACTAAAATTCAAAGTATTCTGGATCAACAAGCACAGATTTCAGTGGCTCAAAGGCTTCATTCATTTCCTAGAGAACGGGGTCGGTGCAAATGCGATGAAAGTTCAGTTGAGGCTAATAAGATGCCGAGTAAAAACTTCCCTCCTCAAAACAAATTAGCCCACATTTATCCCACCCCAATTTGTTGCCTTGGGCCTCCAGACAGACTAGATAACATTCATCATTTAAAGATTTTAAGTGTGAAACTTAACCTGATAACCCTTGGTTCACAAGGTAAAAGAACTAGTTTCTAGTGTCCCTCCAAATATGGCAAACTAACACAAAACATAAAACATGAACTATTTAAATGTACACCCTTTAATACAAAAGGGGAGAGATAAGTTTCATTAACAAAATTGCTGCATACACACAGGACAATATGGGGAAGGGATGTACAGTAGCCCCCCTTATCCACAGGGGATACGTTCTAGGACCCCCAGTGGCTGCCTGAAACCATGGATGGTACCGAACCCACGGCACAGACTGTATTTTCCTTAACATACATGCCTTTGCCCTTAAAGGAAGCACTTAACATTTGGCATGTCCACATGTGCTTTGGGGCCATTATCAAGTAAAATAAGGGTGAGACTTGTACACAAGCACTGAGTTACCACAATCGACTCAATCTGATAACTGAGACAGCTACTAAGTGACTAGCTGGCAGGTGGTGTATACAGCGTGGAAATGCTAGACAAAGGGCCGGTTCACATCCCAGGCGGGACAGAGCAGGACATCACAAGATTTTATCATGCTACTCAGAATGGCACACAATTTAAAATTTATAAATTGTTTATTTCTGGAATTTTTCATTAAATATTTTCAGATCACAGGTGTCCCAGGTAACTAAAACCAAGGAAGCAAAATCATGGCTAGAAAAAGAGTTTACACACGGGGGAAGGGGAGAGAGGAAACAAGCTAAGTTACTATTTCTTCCCTCCTCCCACCCACAGAAAGGAGAATATTCTGCACTTACCAGCACAGCATCCGAGTCATGCCAAAAGCGCCAGAGAATCCAGAACCACATGGTTGCACTGAAGAACTCACCCTTGATCACCTGGGACCGGGTGAGCTGGGGAAACTCTCTGTACCTGGGCTCAATGTGCACACCGCCACCAGCACTGCAAGCCGAAAAGAAAATGTTAGGCAGCTCGCTACATCTTCAAAGTATTCAGTCATCCAAAACCCTCAGTTCCATCCAGAAACTGAAGCTAACATTTCTCATCTCCTCCATGAAATACAGAATGATAGAGCTCCACAAGCCTTCAAAATACTCATTTTTCATAAGCTCACTTTAAATTTGTTAAGCAACAAACAGTGGCCTAAACTGACAAGAGACTAATGATGGTTTTCCTTTAGTGAATATTCCTGTATCTTACACCAGAAATATGAATGTGTTCATAATGAGTTACAGGCCCCAAGAGTTTTGGTTAAAGGATTGTGAACCTATAGTAGTTAAGCAGTCACTAGCTTTATCCAAAGAAAATAAATAAACAAATCAATTTAGCCATCTATTTCAAAAGTAAATTATGTCGTCGGCTCCACTGCAATATTTATGGGAAAGAGGACATTGTAACAATAGGCTTCCTCTTTGATAGGTTTAGATACTAATATGCAAATCGACCGAACTACAGAACGACCAGTCGACATGTGCTGACCACCAGGGGGCAGACACTCAATGTGGGAGCTGCCCCCAGGCCAGCCAAGGCGGGTGCCAGCGGGGACCCCCCTGATCGCCCCGCAGAGGGAGGCGACAAGCAGCAACAGCAGGGGGTGGGGCCGGTGAGCAGGTGGCACCAGGCCAGCCAAGGCTGGTGCCAGCAGGGGCCCCCCCATTGCCCCACTGGTCACCCCACAGATCAGCCCTGATCACCAGCCAGGCCTAGGGACCCTACCCATGCAAGAATGTTGTGCACCAAGCCTCTAGTCTAGTTATAAGGCCCAGCAGTTAAACTCATTAAATAAGATTTGAGAATTATAGTTCAAACCCACTCTCCACATTTCACTGTTGCTAGAGTCTCATAGTGTTTTAACTATGATTTGAAATAAATGGGTGTCCCAAACCAGGATTAAGTATCAAGTTTAAACACAAAAATGCACCATAATTCTCTGTGAAAGTTACATTTTAAAACATAAACCAACAGGAACTGGTGTGGCCTGGTGGTTGAGTGTCAGTGGTTAAGCCTAGAACCAGGAGGTGGCAGGTTCAATTCCCAGTCAGGGCACATGCCTGGGTTGCGGGCTCGATCCCCAGTGTGGGTTGTGCAGGAGGTAGCCTATCAATGATTCTCTCTCATCATTGATTTTTCTGTCTCTCTCTCCCTCTCCATTCCTCTCTAAAGTCAATAGAAATATATTTTTAAAAGAACAAACAAAAACCAGATCATATAACTTTGAGGTTTAAAAGCCTAGATGGCCTCCCATCAAATTTGCCTTTGTCACCTATAAAGCCCTCCCTAATCTCTCAGATCCCACCTCTACCACCCTTCCCTCTGCTCCCCCCATTCCAGCCTGCCGGGCTTGCAGGCCATCAGCAGCACACAGAGCCTTTATGGAGAGGCCCTTTCTGGCATGTTAGCATGGCTGACTTCTCACTCAGGACCTACTTCAATGAGTCAAACTCTCAGGCATGCATTCCCCACATATTCCTGCATACAGTAACCCATCCAGTAACCTATCCTGGACACTGTAGATTAATCCCCCTCGATTTTCTTCATACCACTTAGTAGTACCTAAATGTGTTCTTTCTTTTCTACTTGTTTGTGTCCTCTCCTCATAATGGGAGCTCCATTCTCTTTCCTGTATTAGGCTCTATCCCCAGCACCTAGAAAGGATCCTGGAATCCAGAAGATGCTCCATAAATATTTATTCACTTAATGATGACTCACACTGTGAAATCAGTGTGCGTTATGGAAGAACCAAGACCTCAGTGAAGAGGAGCACCCCCTAGCCCAACTGGCATGGCTCAGTGGTTGAGTGTTGACCTATGAACCAGAAGGTCACAGTTTGATTCCCCGTCAGGACACATGCCCAGGTTGTGGGCTCGATCCAGTGTAGGGCGTGCAGGAGGCAGCCAATCAATGATTCTCTCTTATCACTGATGTTTCTATCTCTCTCTCCCTCTCCCTTCCTCTATGAAATTAATAAAAGTATTTTTTTTAAGAGGGGCACCCCCCAGTCTCCCCCAGGGCTACCGCTTGGTAGTTATTCATTGTTGTCTGTGCTCAGGTCACACCTAGGCCTTTTCTTTCTTCCCACCTCATACCTGTCCCAGCTCCATATCTATATCTATCTATATAAAAGCCTAATATGTAAAATGTCCTCTCAGGAGTTCAACAGACCAGGTGTTCGATCGCTCATTATAACATGCTCTGAACACCAGGGCGCGGCGTGGAATGAAGGAAGGCCCTGGCCAGCAGCCAACAGCTGCTAAGGACCATACCCGTGTACGAATTTCGTGCACTGGGCCTCTAGTCCTTAACACTCTGTAACTTTAGGCAAGTCACTCCTTTAATTTCTGAGTCTCAGGTCCCTCACAACAACAGCTGAATAATACTTGCATGGTGTTTACTATGCACAAGTAACTGTCCTAAAACACTTCAGGAATTCTAATTCATTTGATTCCTTAGAAGTTAACATTATTATCCCCATTATACAGGTGAGAAAGCTGAAGCATGAAGAGATCAAGAAACTTCCAAGGTCATGCAGCTTATGTGGCAGGCACTACCCTGCATTGCCTCTTGGTAAAGTGTAAACGATGGTCTAAGGCAGTGGTTCTCAACCTTCCTAATGTCGTGACCCTTTAATACATACAGTTCCTCATGTTGTGGTGACCCCCAACCATAAAATTATTTTCGTTGCTAACTTCATAACTGTAATTGCTACTGTTATGAATCATAATGTAAATATCTGATATGCAGGATGTATTTTCATTGTTACAAATTGAACATAATTAAAGCATAGTGATTAATCACAAAAACAATATGTAATTATATATGTGTTTTCCAATGGTCTTAGGCGAGCCCTGTGACACGATCCTTCAACCCCCAAAGGGGTCGTGACCCACAGGGTGAGAACTGCCGGGTCTAAGGGGTCTCCAAACACTACCTGGAAAAATCCAAGGTACTATTTTCAGTCCTGCTCTTACTGAATCTCTCCTCTCTGCACTACCAGCTTGTTTTTTGGTAGATGTGTCCTCCCTTGTAGTATGTCCTGCCAGCGCCATGCTCTCCAGTCAGTTGCTTAGGCTACCTACCTCACCAGGTGACTCTTTTGCTCACTCTCTTAAATTCTAGTGTTGGCCAAAACCGGTTTGGCTCAGTGGATGGAGCGTCGGCCTGCGGACTCAAGGGACCCAGGTTCGATTCTGGTCAAGGGCATGTACCTTGGTTGCAGGCACATCTCCAGTAGGGGGTGTGCAGGAGGCAGCTGATTGATGTTTCTCTCTCATCGATGTTTCTAGCTCTCTATTCCTCTCCCTTCCTTTCTGTAAAAAGCTCAATAAAATATTTAAAAAAAAAAATTCTAGTGTTGCAAGAGTAAACCCTAATGTAAAATATGGACTTTGGGTGGCAATGCTGTGTCAACGTAGGTTTATCAAATTGTAACAAATGTACCACTCTGATGAGTGATGCTGGCAATGGAGGAGGTAATGCATGCGTGGGGGTAGGAGGGTATATGGCAAATTTCTGTACCTCCCACTCAAATTTGCCGTGAATTGAAAACTGCTCTGAAAAATAGATGTTTTTTTAAAAATTAAGAAAATTCTGAATTGCCCAAGCATCTACTTTTGGGTCTCCCTTCTCCCACCTTCCCACACTCCGAGTGACCGCCTACACTCCCGTGCCTTAGAGAAGTCATTCCTCAACCTGCAGCCTGAGTGATTTTTCAGAATTATAATCTGGCCACAAGACATCGGACTGAAGCCGCTCAACGACGGCTGTCGCCTGTTTTAAATTATTCAGCCGGCCATCAGGGTCCTCTACTGTTCCCTCCCTATGCCCCAAGTCTCCAGCCTCACTCCTGCCCTTGACCCCTCAAATGCACACACCGTAGAGGTTGTTTCCGCGGCCTGGACCGACCTCCCTTCCCCAACTCCTGCTCTAGCTTCCAGGTGAGCTTCAACTTGTGTCCACATCCAACTGTGAACATCCCGAGCGCAGGATCCCCCTGGTGCAGGGTAGTGTCCCTGCGTCCCCCTCACCCCCCACCCCGCTGTCACCAACTCCCCCTGGCCTTGGCGCAGCCGACTACAAGTCCCAGCATGCCACGGGGTGGGTCCGTCCCAGGCGCCCAGTGTCAAGGTGAGAACGTCCCGGAAACTGGCACTTTCTGTAAGAAGCAGGCCAAGATCCCACCCCCGACCGACACTCACTGACGGACTCCGCTTCCAGCCGCCCGCGCGCGGAGGCCTCTGAAGAGGCTGCCTCCGCCGCGAGCGAAAGGCGCCAGCCGCG